ACCCCTATCTCTGTCCTTTCTTTCTTCCTCCTCCTTTTCTTCCTCCTTTTCCTGCCATCTTACCGTCTCACATTCTCTTTCCTAATAGTAACAGAATTTATCTTGGTGTTGGTTATTCTGAGTCAATAGTACCTGATAGGGGTTTTTCAAAATGAATTTTCAAATTTTCAAAAATGTTATTTGAGAGGGGAGCTTCTGTCAAAGCTTGTACCATTTAAAACATATATGTGTGTGTGTGTGTATATATATATATACACACACACATTCATACACATACACACATAATATATACACAATATGTATACACATATATATACACTGTGTGTGTTTATCTACATATATAGCTTCATTTTGCCATAATATTCATCTGTTTTGTGGTCCTGTCTTTCTGGAATGCTTTCCACATCTATGTTGTTATGTACCTCATTGTATTAGAATTCCTAGTCAATCTTTTTCTCTAAAACCATATAGTCAATAGTTTGAAACCACTGGGTCTAGTGCTCCCTAGTGTTTATTATTTTAATCCAATATATGGATAGGTTCTATAGCTTGGTTCAAATTATCCTGAGCTATTCTCTGTACATACCCACCTTCTGCCTGCCCCCCACCCACCCTTCTCTCCAGAAAGGGAAAAGGACATAAAAAAATCCACACACAAGCCTGCTTCTCCCTCTGCCTATGTCTCTGCCTTTCTCTCTGTGTCTCTCATGAATAAATAAATCTTTTTTAAAAAAATAAATAAATAAACACTTCATGTGGATCGTCTCCTTTAATTTTCCCAATAATGCTGAGTGATGATATAATTATTACCCATGCTTATGGAGTAATTGGGGCTTAAAGAAATTAAGTCACTTTGTCCAATGTCATCCAGCAATGAAATGGTGGGGCTGAGATTCCAACCTGGGAGATCTGGTTCTGGAACTGGATTCTTCACACCTTGAAACTGACTAAACTATCCTGCAAACCTCTTTCTGAGTTCTTAGTCTTCTGTCTCATTTGTGAGGACTACATAGTAGTCTATCATTCAAATGTACCATAATTTCCCCAAGCCCCTATCAGTGGACATTTGCTTGTTTTCAGTGTTTTCTATAATATGTTCTCCACTGAGCATCCTTATGGTTAAATATTTGCTCAAAAACTAAAGTTAGAATTTTGAGGTCAAAGCGTATGGATAATTTTAAGGCTTTTGGTACATGTTGCCAAGATTGTTCTCCAAAGTAATGACCAAACTGTACTTTCTATATCTTTATCCACACTGGACTACAAAGTGATTAGAGGCAGCTCAAATTTTGCCACATGAACAATAAAATTGAGATTAATTAGGGGCTCGGGGTAGCTTAACCTTTTCCAGTGGAAATTCCATCTTCCCAGAGCAGAGGAGCTGGAATCAGATGTGGGGTGGGAAGGATTCTAGTGCCAAGAGCTCAAGAGTAACTCCTGTTTTATCAAATCAGCTAAGTCTCTCAGAAAAACCCGATGTCACAGAACAGTCATTGTCCAGGAAGAGAGGAGTGTACCCATGTCCACGAGTCCTTCAGCTGCTGAGTCCTGCTGGCATGGCAGCAGCACTGAGCAGGGAGGATAGGCACCTGGGGGTCAAGAATCCCAGGTTCTTTCCCAGCCCAGGCATTGCTTGTGAGCATGAGCAAGACACGCAGAGCTTCATGTCCTTCATCTCCTAATGCTGGGAGTGCTGATGCCAGGAGTTGCCACCCACCGCAGTCCCCTATGTCCCAGATTAGGACAAGTCCTTGCCACATGGTCCCACACTCCCACCCTTCAAACCTCTTCCTTCAGGAAGGGCCTGATCTCCCTTTAAGGGTTTGCCTGGTTTTAAGGCTTGTCAGATCCACCAGGATAATCTCCTTTTTGATTAGCTCTAAGTCAAGTGCTTAGGGATCCTAATCATGTCTGCATAGTCCTTTCTGTCATATACCACATCCTAATCACAAGGCAAGCCCACCACAGTCACAAATCTTCCCTCATTCAGGAAGAGGGACTATACAACACATGTACATCAAGGGTGGGGATCTGGAGGCCATCTCAGACCTCTGCCTACAACAGCGACTGTGTGGACAAGAGGGGAAATGATGAGTGAAGGAATGAAGGAATACATGAAGTGCTCACCTGTGCAGATGGAAGGGAAGAGAATGGTCTAAACGGACACTAACTTTGGGATACACCCTCGAAGTCTGAGTTGGACACACCCCAGGCTCACTTCACTCGTCAAGGAGGAGGGACCATGATAGCTACCCCCTCCTCTCCAGAAGGTCAGCTTCTATAGAAGGTGAATGTGGATTTGTTCTCTGCAGTCTAGAGAGGGGATAATTGCTAATAACCCAGACAGCAATAAAGACAAAAACCCATATTTTCCTTGCCAAGTAACACGCTTTGATTCCAAACTCCATTTCCCACTCCCCTTCCCTTCCCTCTCCTTGTGGGTATCTACACCATCCCCTGGAAGGAGCGTCCCCTCAGAGACCCACTGTGCTTGCTCAGAGAATCCACCTGAAAAAGCAACATACATTCACCCGGTTGTTAGAGACTATTCAGGAAACCACCAGCACCCCACACCGAGCTGGTCCATGAGAAAGGCAGAGCCCTCCGCCCTGTCAACCCTCGGTCTCCTCTTTGTAGCCCGTAAAATCACTCTAATCCGCGACCACATTAATCCTGAGTATCACATGGACCAGGAGGGTTGGACAGTAGCTAAGCCATCAGAAAGAACATCCTCGGGAGGAGAGACTAAGACAACCTCCACGACGAGTGGCCTTTCAGCCTGAACTGATGAACCCTGCAAGCAACCAGGGCCTGGTGATGACTCCCCGGTGTGTAACTCCAGATGCTTTCCTCCTCTGGGCCAAGCAGGAGGGCCAGCCCGGCTGCAGCTGGCACCCACGCCCCTCGCTGGGCCTTCCGCCTGCTGTCACCCTCAGGCACAGGAGCCCCACCTGTTTCCGAGGAGCCCCTCAGCTGACACGTGCACTCATCCGTTCCACAGTGTTTACGAAGACCTGACATGCACCAGGTATGAGCCCGTGGTCCCGCAGTGTAAAAAAGAAAAAAAAAAATCCTTGTCCTCGAGTACCTTCTATTTGGCGAGGAAGCTCGGCTGGTAACAAGATAACTTAACAAACAAACCGACAAACAAGATAACCAGGTAAATAATATGACTCATGACACGGCGGTAAAGTGCTCCGGGAACAGAACCAACGCTGGGAAGGGGGAGGGGGAAGGCCCCTGGGAGGCCCAGGAGGAAGGAAGCAGTTTGAATTAGGGTAGACCGAAGGCCCCTGACGAGGTGATAGGCAGTGAGTCCGCTGCGTATTCGAGTAGCTTGAGTCGCTGCAGGTGCGAAAGCCCGAGGCAGCAGCGTGGCCGCCTGGTTGCTCCACAGGGAGGGGACCGGACGCAGACGGGGCGGGGGGGGGGGGGGGGGACTATTCCGCTCCCGGCGCTGTCCCTGCGGCCCGAGGAGCCGCGGGTGTGAACTCGGTAAGGGGCACGGGCTAGAGGAGGTGGGGGCGGGAGGGCCCCGGGGCCTGGGCCCCGAGAGTTTGCGAGTCGTGCTCGGCGCGGTCTGCCGGGACAGGCTTCGCCCCCCGAAGAGCGTTCAGGCCCTGGGCAGCCTCACCTAGGACCTGCCGCAGACCTGCGCCGAGGTCGGGGGAGTCGCTCGGTGAATTCGTGCCTAGAGTCCGGACGGGGTCGGGAGGTGGCAGGGAGGGGAGCGGGGTCGTGGCTTGGCGGGATAGTCCGAGCAGGGGACTCAAAGCTGAGCCACGTCTGTTGACTCCAAGCTGTGTTTTTCCCATCTCTCTCCTCGCCCCCCAAGAAGGGGAGAAAAGTGTCGGTACAAGTTTGGGGCTAAAATGTGGTGGAGAAGAAAAATAATGCCCCGAAACCACAAAGCTGCTTAGTTCGAAAGTGTTCCTAGAACTCGGCTCTCCTAACTCTTGGGTAGTCTTTCTTGACATTCTGCTGGTATCTGTGGACTTTGTGTCTGCGCTGCTGGGATGTCTCCGCCTGGTCCAAGCGCAGCCCGCTCTTGGGCCCTTGACTGCACGGCCCGGAAACGCTGATTTGCGTTTCCTCGCTCGTCGGATCACAGTTGTCCCTTCCTCACACCTCACAGGCCTAGTACATCACAGGCAGAAACAAATACTCACGGAAATTGATTCGGTACCTTAAATGAAAGAAGCGACTTTTTTCTTAGTTTCGTTTCTCTTCTTTTCTTTTTTTTTTTTAATGGGCCAAGCGCTCAGATAGCATGCAGTCTAGTTTCCTAAGAAAAGTCACTAATCCCGTGGTTCTCAGTTTATGGGCCATGAATTTCTGGGACCCTCAGAAAAATGTTTGTAAGGGTTTCTGCAAATCCATGTGGTCCCCAGGCAACACCCATAACCAACCGTATGTCACACAGCTAGATGTTAACTGATTTTTAAGATGTATATAAGTATCTCAAAGATAGTTTATGTTTGGGAACCACTTCTTTAGTCCAGTTGAAATCTTGGGCTGAGCTGCCCAGCATGGAAACTCCTAGTCACATATGACTATTTAAATTTAGAATGGAGTTAAGATTAAGTACAATTTCAGTGTCTGTTTCTCAGTTTCCCTGGGTACATTTTAAGTTCTCAGAAGCCACATGTGGTTAGTGGCCACTGTGTTGAAAAGTTTATGTAAAGAGTATTTCTATCATTGCAGAAATAGTGCTGATATAGACACTTAAAATGAATAAAAAGTGACTTAAGCAGAAGTAACTAACAAATCTGCTGTAGAGCATAACAGGGAAACGAAACTGGGGACAGTAGGAAGCAGTTTCTGTCCTTGTCGCAGGAATACATATCTCTTAATAGAGAAATAAGAAAAGTACTGGTTTTTCTTGGGTGTTTTCTAGATTGTAAAATGCTTCCCCCTCTCTCCCCACTTCACTCCCCCCTCCCCCACCCTTGCCTCATCGATGTAGGTTAGAGTTACTTGTAAGTTGGTAAAAAGTCACTATGGAGACTAAGGACCAGAAGAAACACAGAAAGAAACACAGTGGGCCCAAAGCTGAGAAGAAAAAGAAACGGCATCTGCAGGATCTCCAACTTGGAGATGAGGAAGATGCCCAGAAGAGAAACCCCAAAGCTTTTGCAGTCCAGTCTGCTGTGCGGATGGCTCGATCCTTTCACAGGTATGTTTATCAGGAGCGTAGTTGTTCCTCCATTTACTTTTTTTAAGCAGTAGGAGCCTGCCTAGATGATGTTTGGACTCATGAGTCTGACAGCTTGGAAGGACTTGAAGATGCATGCCGTACTCCTTTTACTAAAATGTGAGCAGGACACGTGGGTGGCTCAGTTTGTTAAGTGTTCAACTCTTGATCTCCGCTCAGGTCTTGATCTCAGGGCTGTGAGTTCAAGCCCCACATTGGGCCCCACACTGTGTGTGAGGTCTACTAGACAGAGAGAGACAGAAAGAAAGAAAGATTGTAAACTTTAAACAGTTTCTATGGTAATAGGTGTGCTTGTGTCTTTTTTCTCGATATGTTTTACATAATAATGTAATAAATAGCTTTATTTAATAAGTTTTTGTCATATGTACTTTAAACATTATTGAATTAAACTCTAATAGCCAAATTTAATTCCAAAGATTCTGCTTTTATTCATTATGATACACTGCCTGCATGTTTATCTTTTCTTTTTTAAACTATTATAATAGTTTAGTCAACTAATAGTTTAAACTAAACTAATAGTTTAGTTAACTATTATAATAGTTAATGAAGCAATCAGATTTAAGGTGTGTGTAGTTTTAAAATTCTCTGTACTGTTGAAGTAAATCTGTTATATGTTTACCGAAGGGGTTATTTGGATTAGGTCTAGAAGTTAACAAGTTAAAGACCACTTTACTTACAAGGATGATGCCTTTTGTATTTTAAAAATTGATATACTTTTTCTTTCTTTTTACAAATAGGACTCAGGATTTGAAGACAAAAAAGCATCACATTCCAGTGGTTGCTCGAACTCCATTAGAGCCCCCACCAATAGTGGTGGTGGTGATGGAACCTCCAAAAGTTGGAAAGAGCACTTTGATCCAGTGCCTCATTCGGAACTTCACCAGGCAGAAACTGACGGAGATCAGAGGCCCTGTAGCAATCGTGTCAGGTAGGAGTCTACTCCCTCAGGCTGATAGGGCATGTGTCGTCTGAGGGACAGGCATATCTTTGTCGAACATTTTCTTGACTGGTAAATATTGAAGTAATGTTCTCACTTTATTACCTTTCCTGTACTTGTACTAAGTTGGCTCTAGTTTAAGAAAAGGATAGATTCCAGATACAACAATGATGTAGATGTGCACCTTATTTGGACTGCTATATGGATTTGCCAGGTGTGTTCCTCTGAAAGGTTTGGCAGGCCTGGGCAACCTGGGTTGGTCATAGTGATCACCTTTCTTTAACAGGTAGTGAGTATCTGCTCTGTGTCAGGCATACCTACTTGCCCTCATAAGGCCATATCCTTAGGGAAATGAGGGGGTTTTCCTCTTTTTCTGTGAGAATTTGCCTGTTCTGGGAGATGGTGACCTTTCTGTTTGAGGGAAGATGAAAAAAAAATCCCAAAATGGTAATGGAAGAATCTGAAATTTTTTTCCCTTTCTTTAAAGGTTTTTATTATTAAGTAATTTCTCTACCCAATGTGGAGTTTGAACTCACAACCCCAAGATCAAGAGTCACATGCTCTACTTTCTGAGCCCTGGAATTTATTATAGCAATGCTATAGTTGGATTGAGGCTTTTCTTTTTCTTTTTTCCTTTACTTTCTTTCTTTCTTTCTTTCTTTCTTTCTTTCTTTTTCTTTTTCTTCTTTTCCTTCTTCTTCTTCTTCTTCTTCTTCTTCTTCTTCTTCTTCTTCTTCTTCTTCTTCTTAAGATTATTTATCTTAGATTGTGAGCAGCATTCAAGAGCAAGTGGAGCAGGGGCAGATGGAGAGAATCCTTCAAGCAGGTTCCCTGCTGAGTGCAGAGCCTGATACAGGGCTCAATCCCAGGACTCCAAGATCATGACCTGAGCCAAAACCAAGAGGTTAACCAAGTTGGTTAACCAAACTTAACCAACTGAGCTACCCAGGCACCCCAAAGCTTTTCTTGATCTTAAAGGCATTACTGTTATTTTTAGACTTTTTAATTTTTTTAAGTGAACTCTATCCCCAGTGTGGGGCTTGAACTCCTGACTTGGGGATCAAAGAGTCACATGCTCCACTGGCTGAGATAGGGAGGTGCCCCACTTTTATTTATTTAAAGTAAACTCTATTCCCATTGTGGAGTTTGAACTCACAACTCTGATCAAGAGTCGTAGACTGATTACTTTTTTTAAATTTTTTATTTATGATAGTCACAGAGAGAGAGAGAGAGAGAGAGAGGCAGAGGCACAGGCAGAGGGAGAAGCAGGCTCCATGCACCGGGAGCCCAACGTGGGACTCGATCCCGGGTCTCCAGGATCACGCCCTGGGCTAAAGGCAGGCGCCGAACCACTGCGCCACCAAGGGATCCCCAGACTGATTACTTTTAAGGTAATTTTGAAATAACAATTGTTCCATAGAGATTTCTCTTACGTTCGGTTTGAGGATGTTTTTAGCTCTAGTAAGAACATGCAAAACTTTGATAAGGATAGAAGTGCTGGCCTGCTGCACTTACCAGCAGGATCACAGTCACCACGGAGCTTGCTTGTCTGCCCATTCCAGTCAGAATTGTACCTGCTTGAGCACTGTATTCATGTGGATAGACTTTTGATACTATTTTAAAATTAGGGAACATAGCAAGAAAACCAAGATGGTATTTATCAGTTTGCTCCTATAAAAATGAACTCCTGGCATATTCCTGTAAGTGTATATTGTGCTTTACTGGATACAACTTAAAATGGTAATTAGAGTAAATGGATATATTTTTTCAAGTTTTTTATTTTTGTTTATTTTTATTTTATTTTATTTTTTATTTTTTTTAATTTTTATTTTTTATTTATGATAGCCACAGAGAGAGAGAGAGAGAGAGAGACAGACAGACAGACAGACAGAGACACAGGCAGAGGGAGAAGCAGGCTCCATGCAGGGAGCCCAACGTGGGACTTGATCCCGGGTCTCCAGGATCAGGCCCTGGGCTGAAGGCGGCGCTAAACCTCTGAGCCACCCGGGCTGCCCTATTTTTTTAAGATTTTTCAAAAGTCTTATTTCGGGGGGTCCTTGGGCGGCTCAGTCAGTTAAGCGTCTGACTCGATTTAGGCTCAGGTCATGATCTCAGAGTTATGAGACTGGGCCCTGTTTGAGGTTCCACATTCAATGCAGTCTGCCTGAGATTCTATCTTTCCCTCTCCCTCCGCTCTTCCCCTTGCTAGTGTGCATGCTTTCTCTTTCAAATAAATAAGTAAAATATTTAAAGAAAAAAACTAAAATCTTATCTCTTTACTTACAGGTAAAAAGCGCAGACTCACCATTATTGAATGTGGGTGTGACATTAACATGATGATTGATCTGGCTAAAGTGGCAGATTTGGTAAGTCAGTGGGAGCAGTGTGAATTTCTAATGAGGACTTAGCAGTGTGGTAGATTATCCCATTTGAAGGAAAGAAAGACTTATGATTATTAAAGGGATGATGAATATAATCAGGGATACTATAGATGTGTTTGAATTGATGATGAGGTTGATGGTGATATTGTTATAATAAAAATGGAACGTGCACAATGGAATGTAGTCTCAACTCTGAAAGTAGAGAAAAATCCTTTAACAAATGTAGTTAATTAATACAGATAGACATATGTACATAAAAACATATAATAGTAGGACCATTTCTTGGACCCTTACAAGGTACTGAGCTAACACCTTTCTCGAAATTTCGCTCATTAAATCCCCCAATATGCTTTGGAGGTAAGTAGGTATTATTATCTCCAGTTTACATAGGATGAAATTGAGGCCCTAGAAGTTAAGTGGTTTGTCTAAGGAAGGGAACTTTGCTCTTGGTGGTGCCAGAACCTCCAGTTCTTAATGATTGTGACAAAGTAAGTACATGAGTTGCCTTTGAGAAGTTGTCAGTGTTTATAATAGAAAATCTAGACAGCACATAGCATATGGAAATTGTGCAACTTTGATTGCATTGAATAGTAGTGTTCATTAATTACATTTTAAATTAACAAAACTAAATCTAAGAAAAAAGCCATATTGATTAGGAAGAGTGGGGTAACAGAGGTGGTTTGTTTGTTTTTTGGTTCAACAATTTCTAAAAAACTGTTTGGTGACAAAGAGCTACAGATTTTGTCCTTGGCCCAGGAAGTCTCCTAAGATACAAATTAAAAAGTAATTTAATGTAGATGTTATAGCTATGCCATTCTAATATCAGAAAACTCAATGACATTCCAATTTTGAACATATAATGCTACTATTAATAGAAATAAGTGTCAATTGTTAACATAAAATAGTATAAACTTATTAAATCTTGTGTGTATGTTTTTTAATTTTTATTTATTTACGATAGTCACAGAGAGAGAGAGAGGCAGAGACATAGGCAGAGGGAGAAGCAGGCTCCATGCACCGGGAGCCCAACGTGGGATTCGATCCCGGGTCTCCAGGATCACGCCCTGGGCCAAAGGCAGGCGCTAAACCGCTGCACCACCCAGGGATCCCATAAATCTTGTGTTTTTGAAACGATTAAAATAGTTTACGGAGTCCCTAATTTTAAAAGCATAGACATGTTAAGAAAGATTTCTTTCATATACATCTTTTTAAGACTTAAAAAGGAAACCGTGCATTTGGTAAAATATTCAAACTATATTACAGAGTACAGTGCTTTTTTTCTCTTCCCTACTCTGACCCCTAATCTCTTAGTTTCCATCAAAGCAGTATCCTAGATATGTATACGAATCCACATTCCACCCTCATAAAGCACATACTGTTTATTATACATACTATTCTGTACTTTGCTTTTTTTCACTCAATGTCTTAAATGTATATAAGTAGTATAGTTCAACCTCATACTTTCTTAAGTATTCTGTTGCATGTACCATAATTTATTTAACCTGTTTTATGTTGATTGCTCTGGGTTGTCATAAAGCCTCCTGAGTCATAGCAAAGGTGTGTACAGTACATGGATTTGTGTGTGTATGTATGTGCATAGAAGGAATAATATATAGGCTTCATTTGTCTTCAATTGACAAGGTTGTCATCTAAGGGCCTGTTGCCACCTGCACCATTTCTATAACGAATTGCTTGCCCCTTGGCACTTTATGGTGTCAAATGGAGCAGGCTCCATGCAGCGAGCCCGAAGTGGGACTCGATCCTGGGACTCCAGAATCACACCCTGGGCCGAAGGCAGGCACCAAACCACTGAGCCATCCAGGGATCTCTGAAGTGGAAATTTATATTGTGGTGGATATTGTCTCATGCTTGCCTTTTAGAGAAAGTCAAAGGGTGGTATTTTCTCTTATCAAAATGATCCCTAATCATTTCATTTAGTCCAGATTAGGAGTTGGGAAACTTTCTGTAAAGGGCCAGATGGTAAATATCTTTAGCTTTGGGGTCATGGTATCTCTTGCAAATGCTTAACTTTGTAGTTATAGTGCAAACACAGTTGTAGACAATACATAAATAATATGGGCAGCCCCGGTGTCTCAGTGGTTTAGTGCCGCCTTTGGCCCGGGGTGTGATCCTGGAGACCAGGATCGAGTCCCACGTCAGGCTCCCTGCATGGAGCCTGCTTCTTCCTCTGCCTGTGTCTCTACCTCTCTCTCTGTGTGTGTGTGTGTGTCTGTCATGAATAAATAAATAAAATCTAAAAAAAACATAAATAATATGGCTGTGTTCCAGTGAAATTTTAGTTACAGAACAGGTTATGGGTCAGATTTGGCCCATAGTCCATAGTTTGCTTATGGTCTGTTTTGAGTAGCTTCCTTGAGTAATTCTGTTTTCTGTTTTAGGTTCTGATGCTTATAGATGCCAGCTTTGGGTTTGAAATGGAAACATTTGAGTTTCTAAACATCTGTCAAGTACATGGCTTTCCCAAAATTATGGGCATTCTCACTCACTTAGATTCCTTCAAGTATAATAAGCAACTGAAGAAGACAAAGAATCGATTAAAACACAGGTTCTGGACAGAAGTCTACCCGGTAGGAAGAGAATTAATTTTTGAATACTAACACTATAATCTTTCAAAAAAATAAGATAAGTAGGATAGATTTATAAACATCGCTTCAGGATTCACCTATGGCATATATCTGTTCATAGTCCCTGCAATATTTCCTCAAAATAGTCTGTATTTCAGAACTCTTGGTGTGTCTCATTTGTCTTTGTAGCTCCCTAGCACCTGGCTCTAAGTGTTTTAGATTTGTGATCGTTTAATAGTTTATCCAAAGTTTCTCCTAGTTGCAGGACTAGGAACTATAGTGCACACATACTGCCACTCCACCCTCCCCTGCATGCTGCTGTGGCGCATTGGTCATATAATTTTTTCTGTGCCCAGAAGCTTCACTGCTCTCTCTGTGTAATACTCCAGATAGATGCCATCATTTGACTGGAGACCAGTCTTGAAGCTTAGTGTTTTGGCAGTTCTGCCTTTCTTTAAGTCCTAACAACATGAGTAGTGAAAGAAGGCAGAGAAGTTTGGGAAGCATTAATAATAAGTGGCTTGCTAGAAGTCTGCCTTAGGATTGCTTCTTATTTAGAGGTCTTTATTTGATGTAGTATGACAAGAATTTAATTGAAATTTAATTTTTTGTTTTCTTAATGTTTAGGGTGCCAAGCTGTTCTACCTTTCTGGAACGGTACATGGAGAATATCAAAACCAAGAAATTCACAATCTAGGCCATTTTATTACAGTAATGAAATTTAGGCCTCTTACGTGGCAACCCTCTCATCCTTATATCCTAGCAGACAGGTAAAAAGTGCATGTAAAGTTTTTCTTCCTGGCCCATGTATTTCAAAGCTGCAAGGTTAGAAAAAGAACAAGAAGAGAGCTTATTTTGTACTTCTTTTTGAACACTGAGGGACAAATGTAGTTGGAAATACCTACTTTTTTGTATCATTACCTAATGATGCACTGGCTTCAGGAGTAAAGTATGAAATGTTTAGAAATATGTGAGCTTTTTGAAGCATTTAAGGCTACCTAATATGGTCTTATCCTGCTTTTTTCATCTTAATCTTCAGTGATCATGTCTTTAGACCATGGTGCTCCAGTCACCCAGACATGCCCTGGGCTTTCTTTCCTTTATATTTTTTTTCATACTGTTTTCTCAGCCTGTAATCCCTTTCTCTACTTGCCAGAATTCAAGGCACACCAAAAACCCAGATCAAAGCTTAATCCTCTCCCATAAAGGGTTTTTATGGGTGTGTTTTCATCTCTTCCTTAACCCCAGGTGCATGTTATTTTCCCTTTTTGGTGTCTTACAGCATGTATATTACATAGAGCCTAAGAGCAGTACAATCCTGTGTTTGCTTCGTTTCTTTTGGTAGATGGTGAACTGTGCTTCCTTCCTTCTGAATTTCCTAGAATTTTCTGAACACTGTGTTTAGTGAACTAGTGAATTTGACCAGTATTTGACACGTGAAGGGAGATGCAAAAATTTTGAGATTTATTTCTGCCATATGATTGGGTTTTATTTTTCTAGGATGGAAGATTTGACAAACCCCGAAGATATTCGAACAAATATCAAATGTGACCGAAAGGTGTCTCTTTATGGTTATTTAAGAGGAGCACACTTGAAAAATAAAAGCCAAATTCACATGCCAGGTATCCTTTTGTTGTAAAATGTACCAAATTTGTAGAACTTGTGGGATGACTTACTTCATTTGTCAGGAAAACTGAAAAATGGCCAAACAAGATAGAGCAACATTGCTAGAAGTTTGAAGACTCCGCTCTGACTCAGCTGGCAAAGTTGAGTTGACCAAATCTCCTCTGTTCTGATGATGTTGGTTAGTTAGAGAGGCACAGTGCCAGTAACCAACAGCACGCTTGTGGTTGAAGCCTTCCACCTGGGGGCTACTTTTGTTGATGGTTGATAAACTTGTATCTGAAGCTATCTTCCTCTGTCTTCCAGGTGGAGGAGAGTTTGCTGTGAGCGATGTCACTTTCCTCCCGGACCCCTGTGCACTTCCGGAACGACCAAAGAAGCGCTGCTTAAATGAGAAGGAGAAGTTGGTTTGCGCACCTCTGTCTGGAGTGGGTGGTGTGCTCTGTGACAAAGATGCTGCCTATGTTGGTCTTGGTGGCAGCCGTGGCTTCCAGGAATTGGTGAGAGGAAAGTCATAGGAAGTAATGTACTGTGACGTACTTCAGCTTTTATATACTGAACCTTTGTATTTGTATTTGGTAAGAGCTACAACGTACATTGTAAATGTACAAAATACTTAAGTGCACCAGGCAGAAAGTAAAAGTCATGTTCTCCATTCTGTTGCCAAGACACACGGGATCCTGGTCTTTTAGTGGGAGCATTGCAGGCAGTTTGGTGCTTGTGTTTTCCGTCTCTCTTTATACAAGAATACCTCATTTCATTGTGCTTCGCTTTATTGCATTTCGCCAATATTGCCTTTTTTACACATTGAAGGTTTGGGGCAGCCTTGTATCAAATAAGTCTGCTGGTGCCTTTTTTTCAAAGGCATTTGCTCACTTTGTGTTTCTCTGTCACATAATGTTAATTCTAACAATATTTCAAATGTTTTCATTATTATTATATTTGTTATAGTATCTGTCCTAAGTGATGAGCTCTCACTGCAACCTCAAATAATGATTGGATTTTTTAAGATTAAAATATTTTTAATTAAGGTATGTACATTTTTTTAATTTTATTTTTTTATTGGAGTTCAATTTGCCAGCATATAGCATAACACCCAGTGCTCATCCCGCCAAGTGCCCCCCTCAATGCCCATCACCCAGTCACCCCAACCCCCCGCCCACCTCCCCTTCCACTACCCCTTGTTCATTTCCCAGAGTTAGGTATCTCTCATGTTTCGTCACCCTCACTGATATTTTCACTCATTTTCTCTGGTATGTACATTTTTAGACATAATGCTATTGTACACTTAATAGATTACAGTATAGTATAAACATAATTTTATATGTACTGGGAAACAAAAAAAATTCATTTGACTTGTTTTATTGTGGTGGTTTAGAACCAAACTCACAATATCTCTAAGGTATGCCTAGATAATATCAGTGTGTTTCCTAGCTTTCTTTGGTCTATTTCTTTTTTTTTTGTAAATATTTACATATTTATCTATTTATTACATATTTAGATTATTGAAATATTATATGTAAATACCATGTATTTGTATCCATATATGTATGGTCTTTGTGTGTCTGTGAGAGAGAGAGAAGTAATATTTCTTTATTTTATTTTTAATTTTTTTAAGTAGGCTTCCCACCTGAGCCCAAAACAGAGCTTGAACTCACAACTCTGAGGTCAAGACCTGAGCTGAGATCTAGAGTTGGGTGCTTAACTGACTGAGCCACCCAAATACCCCATAATATTTTTTATATGGGCTCCAACTTTAAATGCTCTTGCAAATTTTGAGGGGCACCTAAGAATATGTGATCCCATTGCTCCCTATTAGTATTGATAGAGCTGCTTTGGTCTTTGTTATAGCTGTGTGGTATTTCATTGTCTGGATAAACCTTATTTATTGAACCAACCCAACCCTTGGAAATCTGGACGGGGGAGTTTACCCCTACTTCCCTTTGTTTTTAACATTGCTGCAGTTGGCACCCTCAAACATGAGGTTTTGGTCATTGGGAGGGATTTTCTTTTTTTTAAATTTTTATGAAGAGTTTATGAGAGAGAGGCAGAGACATAGGCAGAGGGAGAAGCTCCATGCACCGGGAGCCCGACGTGGGTCTCCAGGATCACGCCCTGGGCTGAAGGTGTTGCTAACCTGCCGAGCCACCCGGGCTGCCCATATTACTTGGTTTAATTCATGAGTAGCACTTAAGCACTTTATGAGATTTCATGTAACTTTTTTTGCAGTATAGCTTCATACAAATTATAGAAAACTACATAAAAATAGCTGTTTAAGTTAATGGATTTCTAGGTGAGGACCCCTGTAACCACAGTGTGTCTGTCCCAGTGATAGTCCTGTCCTCCCTGCAGAAGGAACCATGATTCTTACAGTAATCATTTCTTACTTTTCTTCATAATTTCATACTCCAAATTTGTACCATCGTCCGTTCTATCATATTTTGGGGGGTTTATTTTTCACTATGCCTTTCCTTTTTCTTAATTTACAGTCCCCTCCATCCATCTTTTTTTCCCTTATATTTTATTTGTTAAAGAAACTAAGTGTTTGATGTGTAGAGTTTCTTATATTCTGGTTTTTGTGGATCGCATTACATCCTTATTTGCAGTTTATCAGGCTGTTCTCTTCTGTATTTCCTGTAAAGTGATGCAAAGCACTACTAACAGAACTGTCTGTGATGATGGAAATGGAAATGATCTATAGATCACTGGATATCCATTGTGGCTACTTACGTCTGTTGAATACTTTAAGTATAGCTAGTAAGACAGAAGAACTAAATTTTAATTTTCGTTTTATTTAATCTTAATTCATTAGAATTTACATAACCGTGTGGTTGTAGCTACCCTATGGACATCTAGAGATTTGATTAGATTTAGGTTTGGTTTTTATTTTGGGGAAGATTGCTTCCTAGATGATGGTGTTTGTGCATTAGGAGGCACATAAAATCATCTTATGATGTTAAAATCTGTTGATCTTCAATGCCTGGATCCATTAATTTATTAAGGATGTAAAATGGTGATATTCTGTACAAATTACTGTTTATTGTCTGGAATATTTCTATAAAGAGAAACTTCCCCTCATCTACTATTTGTTTACTTAGTTCCATAAGAGCAGGATAAATACTTGATTCTTTTTATCAGTTTTCAGAATGATTCTCCAAAGGTGACTCTTTTTTCTTTCTTTTTAAGTATCATTTTGAAGTCATGGAATTTAATATAATTATTTCCTTCCACTGAACTTGTTATCCTTATGGATACTCATATGTATCCCATTTCTGGCCAGTGGGATTCTCTTTAAGTTGGTTTCTAAATTCTTTTGACATTCTCCTAGGAGTGTTTGATTGCTTCTTTGCCATGTGGTATGATGAGGTGTTCCAGGATCATCATCTACATTTCTGATGCCCAACTTGGAAGCAGCCATAAGAAGTCCTGATTTCTTTTAGTGCAAAGTGATATTCTGGTGTCATAATCTAGACATAGGAATACACACTGCTATGAATTGGTCATTGTTTCCAGGCCTTTCAGTGACCAGAGCTAGGAGAATTCATAGAGTTATTTCCAATTCAGATTCAGAATGTAAGGTTCTTATTTAAACTCTTTCAGCTTACATTTGTCTGTTTTTCCACTGGGGAATTAATTCCATTTGACTCTGAAGATGATGAAATTAGAAAAGTGTATAATTTGCTTTATCCCACTTATGCACAAAATGGTGTCAGAATAACATTACGCATGTTACTGTTTCTTTCTACACATGTTACTGTTAATATGATTACTGAAAACAAATTTTTCCTTCTTATATTCCCCCATTTTTCTTTTCAGAAAGTGGCTACATTTCCACCAGCAGTGTATGTGGCTTCTGATTTCTCTGCATCCTCACCAACACTTGTTATCCTCTGTTCTTTTAATCAGTATTATTATGTCCATTCTGTTGGTATGAAGTAGTACCTCACTAGAGTTTTGATTTGCCTTTTTCTGATAGCTAGTGATATTGGGCATCTTTTCATGTGCTTACTGGCCATTTGAAGAAATGTCTGTTCAATTGGGTTGCTCATTTTTTTTAAATTTGTTTTTTGTCATTGAGTTGTAAGAGTTTTTATATATTCAATTTGTCAGATATATGATTTACAAATTCTGTAGGTTGTCTTTTCTGTGCCCTTTGAGGTGCAAAATTTAAAAGTTTTTTTTTAAAGTGCTCGCTTCGGCAGCACATAAAATAAAATGTTTTCAAAAGATTTTATTATTAATTAGAGTGAGTGCATGAAAGAGAGCATGAGTTTGTGCGGGGTGGGATGGAAAGTGCAGAGGGGGAAGGAGGAGTAGGCTGTCTGCTGAGCAGAGAGCCCCATGCAAGGCCGGATCCCAGAACCCTGAGATCATGACCTGGGCCAAAGGCAGACACTTAAATGACTGAGCCACCCAGGTTCCCCAACAAAGTTTTAAATTTTGATGAGGTTTAACTTATATTTCTGCTGTTTTTGTTTGGTATCAAATCTAAGAAAACATTGCTGAGTCCGAGATCCTGAAGCTTCACTCCTATGTTTTCATTTAGTTTAGTTCTTACATTTATTTATTTATTTATTTATTTATTTTAAGATTTTATTTATTTATTCATGAGAGGCCCAGAGAGAGAGAGAGGCAGAGACACAGGCAGAGCGAGAAGCAGGCTCCATGCAGGAAGCCCGATGTGGGACTCGATCCCAGGTCCCCAGGATCACACCCCAGGCTGCAGGCGGCGCCAAACTGCTGCGCCACCGGGGCTGCCCTAGTTCTTACATTTAGATCATTGATCCATTTCAAGTTGATTTTAGTATTTGGTGTGAAGTAAGGTCAACTTCATTCTTTTATCCCATGTCCTAGCACCATTTGTTGAAAAGTCTATTCTCCCCATTCCCTTGTCTTGACGCTCTGAGTGAAAATCACTTGACCGTAGGGACGAGGGTTTATTGATGGACTCCTAATTATATTTCACTGACTTCTATCTTTATGCTCATACCTGACTGATTACTACTGCTTTGTAGTATGTTTTGAAATTGGAAAATGCGAGTCCTCCAGCTTTGTTCTTGTTTAAGATTGTCTTGCCTATTCTAGATCCCTTGGGTTTTCTATGTTGTAGGATCTGCTTTCCTATTTCTCCAAAGAAGCAAGTTGGGATTTTAATAGGGATTGTGTTGAATCTTTAGATCACTTTGGATAGTATTGATATCTTAACAATATTAAGTCTTCTGTTCCATTAATGTGGGATGCCTTTCCATTTATTTAGATCTTTGATTTCTTTCAAGAACGTTTTGTCGTTATCGGAGTATATGCTTTGCATTTCTTTTATGGAATTTCTTCCTAGCATTTTATTGTTTTTAGTGCCATAGTGACTGTTTTCTCAATTTCATGTTTGGATTGTTCATTGTTAGTGTATAGAAATAAAATTTGTTGTTATATATTAATCTAGTATTTTGCAAACCCACTAAACTCATTTATTCCGAAAGTTTTTCAGAGCATTCCTAGGCTTTTTTTAATAGATAAGATC